CCTGCCTGACTTCAGGCTTTACCACAAAGCTGCAGTCATCAAGACAGTATGGTACTGGCACAAAGACAGAAATATAGATCAATGGAATAGAATAGAAAGCCCAGAGATAAATCCATGCACCTATGGACACCTTATCTTTGACAAAGGAGGCAAGACTATACAATGGAGAAAAGACAATCTCTTTAACAAGTGGTGCTGGGAAAACTGGTCTACCACTTGTAAAAGAATTAAACTAGAACACTTTCTAACACCATACACAAAAATAAACTCAAAATAGATTAAAGATCTAAAAGTAAGACCAGAAACTATAAAACTCTTAGAGGAAAAAGTAGGCAAAACACTCTCCAACATAAATCAAAGGAGGATCCTCTATGACCCACCTCCCAGAATATTGGAAATAAAAGCAAAAATAAACAAATGGGACCTAATGAAACTTAAAAGCTTTTGAACAACAAAGGAAACTATAAGCAAGGTGAAAAGACAGCCTTCAGAATGGGAGAAAATAATAGCAAATTAAGCAACAGACAAATAATTCATATCAAAAATATACAAGCAACTCCTGAAACTCAATTCCGGAAAAATAAATGACCCAATCAAAAAATAGACCAAAGAACTAAACAGACATTTCTCCAAAGAAGACATACAGATGGCTAACAAACACATGAAAAGATGCTCAACATCACTCATTATCAGAGAAATGCAAATCAAAACCACAATGAGGTACCATTACATGCCAGTCAGGATGGCTGCTATCCAAAAGTCTACAAGCAATAAATGCTGGAGAGGGTGTGGAGAAATGGGAATCCTCTTACGCTGTTGGTGGGAATTCAAACTAGTACAGCCACTATGGAGAACAGTGTGGAGATTCCCTAAGAAACTGGAAATAGAACTGCCATATGACCCAGCAATCCCACTGCTGGGCATACACACCAAGGAAACCAGAATTGAAAGAGACACATGTGCCCAAATGTTCATCACAGCACTGTTTATAATATCCAGGACATGGAAGCAACCTAGATGTCCATTGGCAGATGAATGGATAAGAAAGCTGTGGTACATATACACAATGAAATATCACTCAGCCATTATTAAGAATACATTTGAATCAGTTCTAATGAGGTGGATGAAACTGGAGCCTATTATACAGAGCAAAGTAAGTCAGAAAGAAAAACACCAGTACAGTGTATTTATGCATATATATGGAATTTAGAAAGATGGCAGCCATGACCCTATATGCAAGATAGCAAAAGAGACACAGATGTACAGAACAGACTGTTGGACTCTGTGGGAGAAGGCGAGGGAGGGATGATTTGAGAGAATAGTATTGAAACATATGTATCATCATATGTGAAACAGATCACCAGTCTGGGTTCGATGCATGAGACAGGGTGCTCAGGGCTGCTGCACTGGGATGACCCTGAGAGATGGGATGGGGAGGGAGGTGGGAGGGAGGGTCAGGATGGGGAACACATGTACACCCATGGCTGATTAATGTCAATGTATGGCAAAAACCACTACAATATTATAAAGTAATTAGCGTCCAATTAAATAAATTTTTTAAAAAGTTCATTGTGAAAAATGCCTACACCAAGAAATAAGAAAGATCTCAAACAAAAAACCTAACTTGACACCTCAAAGAATTAGAAAAAGAATAAAAACCAAAGTTCAAAATTAGTAAAAAGGAAATAACAAAGAATGGAAAAAAGAGAGAGAGTGGCCAATAAGACAATAGAAAGTATTGAATAAGACCTGTATTTTTTTTATGATAAGCAAAGTTGGCAAATGTTTTGATTCACCAAGAAAAAAAAGAGGTACAACTCAAATAAACAAAATCAGAAATAAAAGAGGAAACATTAAAATTGATACCACAGAAATACAGAGGATGATGACAGATGATAATGAACAATACATGAACAAATTGGACAACCTGGAAAAAAATAGATAAATTCTTAAAAACATGCAAACTATTAAGATAGAATCATGAACAAACAGAAAATTTGAACATAGCAATAACTAGAAAGGAGATTGAGTTGGTAGTCATAAACTCCAAACAAACAAAATGCAGGGCCAGATAGTTTTGGGTTTTCCTGATGGCTCAGACAGTAAAGAATTGGGCTGCAGTGGGAGAGACCTGGGTTCAATCTCTGGGTCGGGGAGCTCCCCTGGAGGAGGGCATTGCAACACACTCCAGTATTCATGCCTGGAGAATCCCCATGGACAGAGAAGCCCAGTTGGATACAGTCCATGGGTCGCAAAGAGTCAGACACGACTGAGAAACTAAGTACAGCACACAGATAGTTTTGATAATGAATTCTACTAAATACAACATTTAAAGATAAATGAATACCAACTTTTCTCAAACTTTTCCAAAAAATACAAGAGGAAGGAATACTTCCAAATTTATTTTGCAAGGTCAACATTACTCTGCTATCACAACCAGAGAAGAACATTACAAAAAAATGAAAATTACAGGCCAATAGGCTTGATAAACACAGATGCAAAAATCCTCAACAAAATATTAGCAAACTAAATTGAAGAATACAGTAAAAGGGCCATAGACTATGAAAAAGGTGAATTTATTTCAGTGATGCAAGAATGGGTCAATATGTGTAAATCAATCAATGTGATACAACTCATTAACAAAATGAAGGATAAAAATCATATGACCATCTCAAGAGAGTCAGAAAAAGCATCTATGAAAGTCAACATTAATTCATGATTAAAAAAAAAAAACTCTGAACAAAGTGGGTATGGAGGGAACATACCTCAACATAATACAGGCTCTATATAATAACCCCACAGCCAATATCATATTCAACAGTGAAAAGGGGAAAGCTTTTCCTCTAACATCAGGAATAAGATGAGGATGACCACTCTCACCACTTTTACTGAACAGAAGGGATCAGGATTTGGGAAAATTTTTCTTAAAATGCAAAAGGATTGAATATGTTCAAATGCTAATAGAAAGGAGCCAGCAAGGAGAGAGAGAAAACAGAGAAAAAAGAAGAAATGATTCCTGAAAACGTGACAGGAAAGGGATCCATGAGACAGACAGAAAGATTTACTTTAGATAAAAAGAGAGCCCTTCTTCTACAACAAAATGAAAGAGAAAACAAAGGGTGTGGATGTAACTAAATTTGTAAACCTTGTGGACAGGAGTTGAGGGAGTTTCCTACAATGGCGCTTAGTTTCTTTGTGGAAGCCTAACTCACTTGGGGAGAAGTCCTCAGCAGAGAACTGGAAGGGAAGAATTCAGGGCTGAAAGCCCATGTCGTGCTTGTTGGAGCAAGTTGAGTTGGGTTACCAAGCAAGAATGTTGTATAAGATTGAGGATTCACTTAAGGTTGGTGATAATAATACCAACCTGCTGGGCTGCACGGTCTTTTTCAGAAGGAGACATTAGCTCAAGCACAGGCAGAAAGGCAGAAGACTGTTGCATTGGATTTTGGATAAGTAAGTGAAAGAGATAGTTAGGAAGGTGACTAACAATCTGATAGATACTCAGGTGGGAGCAGCATGATGTGAGACATATGAGAATAGAGGATACTGGTTAAGTACTCATAATACTAAAACATACACTGGTAAATAAGGAAGTAGACAGAAGAGTGGGCTAATGAACAGGCAGAGTGTGGAGCTATCAATGTACTGAAAACCCTGTGGAAGCCTAAGCACTATTATATTTATTAAATTGTATTAACAAACAAAAAGGAAAGGAGCATGTGGTCAGAGGGTAAAATGTATGACATGACTGTGTAGTTAGTACCTGTAAACACTTGTGTGCATGCTTAGTCACCCAGCTGTGTCCGACTCTTTGTGATCCCATGGACTGTAGCCCACCAGGCTCCTCTGTCCATAGGGATTTTCCAGGCAAGACTACTGGAGTGGGTTGCCATGCCTCCTCCAGGAGATCTTCCCAACCCAGGGATCAAACCCAGGTCTTCTGCACTGCGGTAAGATTTTTACCAGCTGAGCCACATTAAGACTCTTAGGTTATCAACTATCACAGCAGTAGAATTATACAGTGCCTGTCTACTGGCTTCCTCGTGGTTCAGAAGGTAAAGAGTCTGTCTACAATGCGGGACCTGCATTCAATCTCTGGGTTGGGAAGATCTCCTGGAGAAGGGAAAGGCTACCACTCCAGTATAATGGCCTGAAGAATTCCATGGATTGTGTAGTCCTTGGGGTCGCAAAGAGTCGGACATGACTGAACGGCTTTTACTTTCAGGAGTCTTGAGTATAGATGAAATACCTTAGGAATGAGGTATTCTCTGAACTTAACATCCTGAGTTGCTGCATGGGGCAGATTGCTGGGGACAAGGTCAATGTATCTTTGGATCTCGTGCACCACAGCATCCGTGTAGGGCATGCGGTTCCTGTCCTGCATGCAGGGGCTTTGGTTTCTGCCAACCACATGGTCAATTTCTTCCTGAACTTTAGCTGGCAAGATAGGAATCAGAATTTAGCTTCTTAATCATGGTTACATTGGATAATTTGTTTGCCCAAGAGGATATAATTTAAAAGAATTTTTAATTTGTCTATAACTCTTTTAGAGTGAATCTTTTTGACAAAGGATTGTGATTTTGCTGAATCAATCCTTTCAGTACAAATGCATTTGAGTAGAATTATCTTTTGACAAAAATATATTTATGTGGACTTAGAAGGCTTTATCAAGTAATGCCCTTTTAGAGAAAGAGGAAGGCTAATGCTTTCCAGATCCTAGGATAACTCTCTTTACTACATTTGACATGATGCAGATCAACGATACTCCACCACAGAAAACAACAGTGACCTCAGCCCTTGAAACCTACTGCTGCTGATTAAATATTTCATTATGAGTTTTACTTTAATTTTAATTTAATTTATTCAATTATAGGAAGATCTACTAATGATGAATTTTTCTTCTTGTACAATATATAGGCAGATGAAGAATGGAATAGTCATCAATGTTGCCTACCAGTTTCTACCCAGAATTTCATCCTGTCCATCATCTGTGATCCTACCTGTGACCTCTGGGTGCTTCAACAGGAGCAGGAGCCCATATCTCAGAGTGAGGCTTGTTGTCTCTGTTCCAGCACTAAACACGTCCCATACAGTGGTTATCAAGTTGTCCATGGTAAATTCAGAATGTTTATTATGTTTTTCCTAGCAATGGTAAATAAAATAACCTTATAAATAACCCTATAAATAACATAATTCCATATAACATCATAATTTTTAAAAATTTACTTATTTGACAAATTAAGCCAAACATTAGAGAGTATTATAGATGAAGGTAAAGTTAGATGAGTTTGTTAGAATTACTTCAGTTAAAACAGAGTTAAACTTCCAAGTCCTTTCTGATTCTTCACTTTTGATACTCACTAGAACAAATCAGTTCTTCAGTAATTTCTAACTTGACTCTTATCAAGTCATCACTGCTACTCACTGTCAATTCAAGCATTTATTGTTTATTTCATCATATCTGAAGTTCTCACTCAAGTATCCAGAATCACCTACCCTAAAACTGAAACAATATTCTCAAAATCATCAGTCATTACACCCATGACAGTTTCTCAATTACAATCAAGATAATCTCTAAAAATTCCGCACACTTCATCACTGCACTTATCATACCCTGAACCAATTTTGTCATCTCTGCTAATCTAAGCCAGAGTTTTCTCAAAACCTACCTCAGCTCTTTCCTACTATCTTTCCAACAGTAAGCCTTTCTAGATTCCCACCAATTCCTGCTTTCTCTCATTTGTTACATCATCCATTCATGGAATTTATATGATGAAAAATAATATGTTATCTATCAATAATCTTGAATGTGCCTATTTGTCTGTGTGTGAGTGCTTCAACCTGTCCCCAAATAAAGAACAAACTTTAACATGGTAAATATAAAAACTTCCAAATCATTTTCAGTGACAATTTATAAATAGCTCAAGACATCCAGTATGGTTTGCACAAGCAATCTTCATTCTTGTACATGCAAGCAGTGAACACATCTTTAAAAAGGAGCATTTGTTCTAATAAACCAATTTCACTGAGAAGAACAAAGCTATTCCATGTGTCACATCACTCCACCCACAAAGATGAAATAGCAAATCTGGGTTCCATTTTACCTTTTCCATTTTAATCAGAAAATAATCAATAAAATCTTGAGGGTTAATGAGGTCCAGGGATTCTTGGTGTTTCTTTATTTTCTCCAAAATAAACTTTCTTTGCTCAGTCATGTTTTTAAATATTGTATTATGACTTCCTGGGAAATAATGTAGTAAAGAGGGAAAGCATTGAAGAGCTGAAAGATGAAAGAATCATTCATTAATTTATTCAGCAAAGTTTTACGGGCCCATATTATGGATCAAACACATTGCTATAAAATGAGTAGCTGCTGCTGCTGCTAAGTCACTTCAGTCATGTCCAACTCTGTGCAACCCCATAGGTGGCAGCCCACCAGGCTCCACCGTCCCTGGGATTCTCCAGGCAAGAACACTGGAGTGGGTTGCCATTTCCTTCTCCAATGCATGAAAGTGAAAAGTGAGTAGATTAAGATGAAGAAGACATGCATCTTGCATTGGAACTGATAAACTGGCTGGAGTAACAGCATGCACAGGTTACCAACTAATTTCAAAACCATTCAAATTCATTTCTAACCATAACTCTCTAAAGAAACTCAGGATCATACTACCATCTTTCCAAATGAGGGTACTGAGATTCAGAAAGGTTAGTCAACCAGTTTAAGACACAAAACTAGTGATAGAGGTAGAACCCAGTGTTCCCTCCAGTTTACCCTACATGCATGTCTAGAGAGAGTCACCTAAAAAGTGTGCAGGGATCACACCCTTTTTGTTATAGTTTTTATGAAAGTATAGCTGACATGCAATATTTATTAGTTTCAGGTGTACAAAATTGTGATTTGACATTTATATACATCACAAATTTTTCACCATGGTTAGTTTAGGAACCCTCTGTCATCATACAGATATTGAAATGTTATTGACTATTCCTTGTGCTGTATATTATATCCCTGTGACTTTATTTTATAACCAGAAGTTCAGACTTCTTAATCTCCTTCATCTATTTCATTCATGCCCACATTCCCTCTCCTCAAGTGACCACTAGTTTATTCTCTGGGTCTCTGAGTCTCTGTTTTGTTTTGTTTGTTTTCATTTTTAAATTCCAAATATGAAGTAAATCATATGGTATTTGTCTTGCTCTGCCTGACATTTTCCATTTAGCATAATATCTTCTAGGCCCATCCATAAACAGCACTATTCAATCTGTTATATGGCTGAATAAATTTCCATTGTATATATACAAACCATATTTTCCTTATCCATTCATTCTTTGACAGATACTAAGGTTGCTTCTATATCTTGACTACTGTAAACAAAGATACAATGAACATAGGGGTACATATACATTTTCAAATTAGTGTTTTTATTTCCTTTGGATAAATACCCAGGACTGGAATTGCTGAATTGTACATTAGTTTTATTTTTAATTTTTTGATGGCCTTGCATATTGTTTTCCATTCCCACCAACAGTTCATGAGGGTTCCCTTTTCTCCACATTCTCCCCAACACTTGTTATTTCTTTTTGACAAGGGTTATTCTGACTGGTATGAGGTGATATCTCATCGTGGTTTTGATTTCCCTGATGACTTGTGATGATGAATATATTTTCATATGCTTATTGGACATCTATATATCCTCTTTGGAAAAATGTCTATTCAAGTCCTCTAGACACTTTTATTTATTTTGAGTTTGCTTTTTTGTTTTTGATTTTGAATTGTATGTGTTCTGTGTGAATTTTTTATATTAACACCTTGTAAGATTTATTGTTTGGAAATGTCTTTTCCCATTTAATAGGTAACCATTTTGTTTCACTGGCATCCTTGTCTTTTTCCTGATCTTAAAAAATGTTTTCAGATTTTCACTGTTGAGTATGATGTTAGCTATGGGCTTGTCATTATGGCCTTTATTACATTTTGAGGTGTATTCCTTCAATACTCACTCATGAAGAGCTTTTGTCATAAATGGAGGTTGAATTTTTTAGTCTTTTTTAACATAATTTGCGATCATAGATTTTTTCCTTCATTTTGTTAATTTAATGTATCACACTGAATGACTTGCAGATATGGAACCACCCTTGCATCACTGGAGTAAGTTTAACTTATCATGGTTTGGGCTTTCCTGATAGCTCAGCTGGTAAAGAATCTGCCTGCAATGCAGGAGACCCTTGTTCGATGCCTAGGTCAGAAAAATCCGCTGAAGAAGGGATATGCTACCCACTCCAGTATTCTTGGGCTTCCCTTGTGGCTCAGCTGGTAAAGAACCTGCCTGCAATGCAGGAGACCTGGGTTTGACCCCTGGGTTGGGAAGATCTCCTGGAGAAGGGAACGGCTACCCACTCCGGTATTGTAGCCTGGAAAATTCCATGGATTGTATAGTCCATGGGTGTTGCAAAGTCAGACTCGACTCAGCGACTTTCACTTCACAATCATTTGGTTTATGGCCCTTTTAATGTAATGGTGAGTTCTGTTTACAAATATTTTATTGAGAATTTTTGAGGAAGTGTTCCTTCTCTTCAATTTTTTTGCAAAAGTTTGAGAAAGATATGTGTTAACACGTCTCTAAATTTTTTATAGAATTCACCTGTGAGGCTATCTGGTCCTATACTTTCAATGATGGAGGTGTTTTGATAATTAATTCAATTTGATTACTAATGATCACTCTGATTAGATTTTCTGTGTCTTTCTGATTTAGTCTTGGTATGTTATGTGTTTCTGTGAATGCACACTTTTTTTCTAGGTATCCAGTTCATTGGTATGTAATTGTTCATAGTGGTGATAATGATCCTTTGAAGTGTTGTCATATCAGTTGTAATGCTTTTCTCTTTCATTTCTGATTTTATCTATTTGGATTGTCTCTCTTTTTATCTTGATGAGTTTGGCTAAGGTTTATCAATTCTTGTTTAACTTTTCAAAAACCAGCTTTTCGCTTCATTGATCTTTTCTATTGTCTGTAGTTAATGTTTCATTTATTTAATCTCTGACCTTTATTATTTCCTTCCTTCTAACTTTGGGCATTGTTTGTTCTTCTTTTTCTATTTATTTTATATGTAAGGTCAGATTGTTTTTTTGAGATTTTTTTTAGTTTCCTGGGGTGGTAGGCCTGTTTGCTAAAAAACTCCCTCTTAGAACTGTTTTTGTTTGTCACAAAGATTTTAAAATGTTGTATTTCCATTTTCAATTATCTCAAAATATTTTCATTTCCTCTTTGATTTCCTTATTGATCTATTATTCAGTCCCCACATGTTTGTATTGTTTCCAGTTTTTTTTTTTCTTGTGATTGATTTCTAGTTTCACACAGTTGTGGTTAGAAGAGATGCTTGATATGATTTCAATTTCTTGAATTTATTGACATACTTAATTTGTTTTGTGACATAACACAATCTATCCTGGAGAATGTTTTGTGTACACTTGAAGAGAATGTGTATTTGACTGCATTTGATGGAATGTTCTGTATAAATCTGATCGAATGTGTTGCTTAACACCAATTTTTCCTTATGAAGTTTAGATCTGCATGATTTGTTCATTAGTGTAAATGGTGTGTTAAAGTCTCATATTATTATTATATTATGATCAACAATTACTTTCATGTCTATTAACATTCACACCCTTTTTTAGTAATGAATAAACTCACCAGAAATATTGTTAATGCCTAAATTATGTAGCTTATTTTTATTTAGGTATTTTATACCCTGACTAATATACGTGTTAAATCTCTTCAGTCATGTTCAACTTTTTGTGACCCTATGGACTGTAGCCTGCCAGGCTCCTCTGCCCAGGTGATTTCCCAGGCAAGAATACTGGAGTGGGTTGCCAAGCCCTCTTCCAGGAGATCTTCCTCACTCAGGGATGGAACCTGCATCTCTTACACCTCCTGCATTGGCAGATGCCTTTTTTACTGCTAGCACCACCTGGAAAGCCCTGAGAAGTATACAGGTTGCCCTTATGCACCTGGCTATTTCTAATCCTAAAAGTAATTGGCTCCTTTTTAAATAGTACCTTCATGACTTAATACCTTTGCTAGACACTGAAGAAATTTATTAAGGCTGGTAGCTTGTATCAGACTAGCTAAAGAGTTAAGAAATCTAGCTTCTAAGTCTAGTTCATTCTTTTTCTTGGTTAGGCTACTTTGGAAAGTATGTTTAATATCTCTGGGTAAATTTTTATGTTCCAAAAAATGAGGAATAGAGTATTTGTCCTCTATAGTCCTTCCCAAGTGGAAAACATCATAACTTTACATTCCACATAGAATTTTAGTTATAAAGGATGTATCACATATGTTAGTAACTTTTCCTGACATGTACTATCATAAAAAAACATATTTTATATACCATTCTCTTTGTCTATAGATATACAAATCATGGGGTTAAAAAGGTTTCTGAAAAAAATATTTTGCTATAATTAGTACACTACAATATTATATTTTTCTTTTTATTACTATATTTTACATTTTAAAACTCAATTCATTAGCTAAATTGAATTGATAACTCACTAATCAGTTACAGGTGATAGTTTGATAAGCATTATCTGTTTTGATAGAACACAAAGGGATGTGGAAGGATGAGCAATCAATTAGCTAGAAAATTGTTTCCCATTTAAAAAGAATCTTGACCTTACCTCTATCCAGGGGATGCTTACAAGCATTGCATTTTCATCAAAATATTTTATCAAGGTTAGCAATTTCTCATCACTATACTCAAAATGATTCTGGAAAATAATGGAGCAGATCATATTGCAGGGAGCACAACTCAGAAGTAAAGTAGGATCACAAGGAGATCCTAAAAAGTCAATATAAACATTAGAAAATATTCTAGTATAAATCTGTTTAAAGTAAGTAAGAAGAGTTTACTTCCAAGATTTTTTTTTATTTATAGGAACAACCTGGACATGCAATCATCACTATTCAACATGCCTAAAATAAAATTTATTGTATTTTCCCAAGCAAAATTATCTAATCCAGTGTGATTTATTTGTTTTCCCTCCAAGTGTTCTCCTATTTATGCCATTCTCCAAATAACAGCCACAATATAATTCACAAGAAAAAGGTTATTTTAAAATGTTTTTAATGTTGCCAGATTTAGCCTTTACTATCGATACTTCTTCATCATGCCTACAGGAAACAGCAATATCATAAGAAAATCAAGAGACTGGGGAGACCTGAAATAATATTTCAAAAATGCAGTTGAAAAAAATGGACTGGTCAAAATAGTCATCATCAAAAATCCACAAACAATAAATGCTGGAGAGGATGTGGAGAAAAGGGAATGCTCCTGCACAGTTGGTAGGAATGTAAACTGATACAACCTCTATGGAAGACAGTATGGAGATTCCTTTTAAAACTAGGAATAAAACTGCCTTATGACCCAGCAATCCCACTACTAGGCATTACCCTGAGAAAACCAAAATTAAAAAAGACATATGTACCCCAGTGTTCACTGAAGCACTATTTGCAATAGCTAGGACATGAAAGCAACCTAGATGTCCATCAACAGATGAATGGATAAAGAAGCTGTGGTACATATATACAACAAATATTACCCAGACATAAAAAGGAGTGCATTTGAGTCAGTTCTAATGAGGTGGACAAATCTAGAGCCTATTACACAGAGTGAAATAAGTCAGAAAGAGAAAAACAACTGTTGTATATTAACTCATATATATGTATCTAGAAAGACAGCACTGATGAAACTATTTGCAGGATAGAAATGGAGATGCAGACATAGAGAACAGACTTATGGACACAGGTGGGTGGGAGGAAGAAGAAAGTGGGATGAATGGAGAGAGTAGCATGGAAACATATACACTAACATATGTAAAATAGATGCCAAAGGGAATTTGCTATATGAATCAGGGACCTCAAACCAGGGTGACAACCTAGAGGGGCAGAAAGGGGTGAGAGGTAGAAGGGAGATTCAAGAGGGAGAGGACATATGTATATCTATGACTGATTCATGTTGATGTATGGCAGAAACCAACATGATATTGTAAAGAAGTTATCCTTCAATTAAAACAAATAATTTTTTTAAAGGAAAAAATTGGAGTGTGCTTTCTCTGTAGAAGAAAAGAACAGTGACAGAAATTGGAGTTACATTCAGATATTTTAAAAATATGTTATAGTATTAGAAACAGGCTTCCCAACCAAAATAAAGAATATGACTAGCTTTATTCCTGTTTGACTGATGACAATTTGTAAGCCTCGTCTTTTCTTCTTCTACTGACATCTGGACTAGGTGACTTTAAAGAAAGCTCAAGTGATACTTCTTTGCAACAAGAACAAGATTTAAAGCACATAAGGTCTGGTTTTTCACTGAGAACCTTCATGCCCAATCTATCCCCAAAAGACCATAAAAATCTCAAACCTGCATCCTTCCTGTGCTCTCTCAAGCCATTTTTGGATCTGGTTTCTAGCCACCTGCCCTCCACAGAAAGCCTCATTATGTGTGTAATAGACCTTTTCATATCCTATCGAGATGTGTGTATCACTACCAACTTCAACAGCTAAACTAAATTTTGGATGGGAGGTCCATCCTGCCTCTGCCTGGTTACTACCACAACACTATACTCCAAAAGGAAAAAGTCTAGCAGGGATTAAAAAGTAGAAGTTACAAGGGAAAAGGTTCTGCATAACATGTGAAATAAACTTCCAACAGTCAACCAGTGACAAACTCAGTTCAGTTCTGTTCAGTCGATCATTCATGTCTGACTCTTTGCAACCCCATGACTGCAGCACACCAGGCTTTGCTGTCCATCACCAACTTCCGGAGCTTGCTCAAACTCATGTCCATCGACTCGGTGATGCCATCCAACCATCTCATCCTCTGTCATCCCCTTCTACTCCTGCCTTCAATCCTTCCCAGCATCAGGGTCTTTTCCAGAGAGTCAGTTCTTCCCATCAGGTGTCCAAAGTACTGGAGTTTCAACTTCAGCATCAGTCTATTCAATGAATAATCAGGACTGATTTCCTTGGGATTGACTGCTTGGATCTCTCAAGAGTCTTCTCCAACACCAGAGTTCAAAAGCATCAATTCTTCCGTGCTCAGCTTTCTTTATAGTCCAACTCTCACATCCATACATGACTACTGGAAAAACAATAGCCTTGACTAGACGGACCTTTGTTGGCAAAGTAATGTCTCTGCTTTTTAATATGCTGTCTAGGTTGGTGATAACTTTCCTTTCAAGGAGTAAGCATCTTTTAATTTCATGGCTGCAATCACCATCTGCAGTGATTTTGGAGCCCAAAAAAATGAAGTCTGATACTGTTTCCACTGTTTCCCCATCTATTTGCCATGAAGTAATGGGACCAGATCCCATAATCTCAGTTTTCTGAATGCTGAGGTTTAAGCCAACTTTTTCACTCTCCTCTTTCACTTTCATGAAGAGGCTCTTTAGTTCTTCTTCACTTTCTGCCATAAGAGTGGTGTCATCTGCATATCTGAGGTTATTGGTATTTCTCCCAGCAATCTTGGTTCCAGCTTATGATTCCTCTAGCTCAGCATTTCTCATGATGTACTCTGCATATAAGTTAAATAAGCAGGGTGACAATATACAGCCTTGATGTACTCCTTTCCCTATTTGGAACCAGTCTGTTGTTCCATATCCAGTTCTAACTGTTGCTTCCTGACCTGCATACAGCTTTCTCAAGAGGCAGGTCAGGTAGTCTGGTATTCCCATCTCTCTGAGAATTTTACACATTTATTGTGATCCACAGAGTCAAAGGCTTTGGCTTAGTCAATAAAGCAGAAACAGATTTTTTTTTTCTGCAACTAGAAATAGGTAGTTTTTCTGGAACTCTCTTGCTTTTTGATGATCCAGTGGATGTTGGCAATTTGATCTCTTGTTCTTCTGCCTTTTCTAAAACCAGCTTGAACATCTGGAAGTTCATGGTTCATGTATTGCTGAAGCCTGTCCTGGAGAATTTTGAGCATTACTTTACTAGTGTATGAGATGAGTGCAATTGTGTGGTAATTTGTGCATTCTGTGGCATTGCCTTTCTTTGCGATTGGAATGAAAACTGAGCTTTTCCAGTCCTGTGGCCACTGCTGAGTTTTCCAAGTTTGCTGACATATTGAGTGCAGCTCTTTCACAGCATCATCTTTCAGGATTTGAAATAGCTCAACTGAAATTCCATCACCTCCACTAGCTTTGTTCATACACACTCACCTAGAGCCAGACATCCTGAAATGTGAAGTCAAATGGGCCTTAGGAAGCATCACTATCAACAAAGCTAGCATGTGAGATATGTGCAATTGTGCGTTAGCTTGAACATTCTTTGGCATTGCCTTTCTTAGGGATTGGAATGAAAACTGACCTTTTCCAGTCCTGAGGCCACTGATGAGTTTTCCTAATTTGCTGGCATATTGAGCACAGCACTTTCACAGCATCATCTTTTAGGATTTGAAATAGTTCAACTGGAATTCCATCACCTCCACTAGCTTTGTTCGTAGTGATGCTTCCTAAGGCCCACTTGACTTCACATTCCAGGATGTCTGGCTCTAGGTGAGTGAACACACCATCGTGATTATCTGGGTCTTGAAGATCTTTTTTGTGTAGTTCTTCTGTGTATTCTTGCCACCACTTCTTAGTATCTTCTGCTTCTGTTAGGTCCATACCATTTCTGTTTTATTGTGCACATCTTTCATGAAATGTTCCGTTGGTATCTCTAATTTTCTTGAAGAGATCTCTAGTCTTTCCCATTCAATTTTTTTCCTCCATTTCTTTGCATTATTCACGAAAGAAGGCTTTATTATCTCTCCTTGCTATTCTCTGGAACTCTTCAGTCAAACTGGGCTACCCCAGGAGTATGAGATCTCCATGGCTAGGTGGAATCGAGCAGAGTCTGGGAGGCTATCAGTGAGGAAGCTGAGAGAAGGCCATATTAATTATGGGAAAACTGAATCAGCTAACGATAATTTCTGCTTGAAATACAAATCAGGTGGACAAAACCACTTACAAGTAATATGTATCAAATTTCAATATTCATTGATTTACTAATTCCATTTCAGAAATTTTATTCTAGAGAGCAATCAGAAATATTCAATGATTAATATTTTTTTATATTATTAGCAACAAAGTGTTGAAAACAGTCTATCTGGACAAATAAATAAAGCTTGGTTAAATAAACTATGGTACCTGCAAAATAATAGACTACTATACTATTAATAATGATAATGATAACAAAAAATGGTAATGATAAAAGAACATGCAAACATATTTATTTAATATGTTAAATTTTAACATAAGGGTAGAGAACAATCTATTTAGATGAACCTTGTGTTCTTATCACTGCTTCTGCGAAATCTCCCACCCATTCCTAGGTAATATGCACCAAAAGTCCACATGATATTCATTGACAGTCTACTTGAGAAACTTACTCAAAAGAAGAAACCAGAATCACCCATATATCTGTAATTATTGCATTATTTATACCAGTAGCAGCAAAAAATGAGGGGAGAAACCTATCTGGATGACCATATATTAGTGGTAAAAAAACCACAATACTGAGTCACAATTTAAAATATAGCATTAGTAAGTTAATAATGTTCTTTAAAAATGAAATATTGAGGTTAAAAACCACCTATGTCTTATGATCCTGATCTTGCTCCTTCCCTGTGAAGTCTCCTACTCACCTATTTCTCTCCTATCCCCTCTTCCAGTCCTACATGGGCATCCACACACATGTACACTGAGCAGATGTGTACTGCTGCAGCTCCCTCCCTTCACACCCAGGGAGAGCTATAATACAGCCTTATGCACAGAGAAGGACTTGGTGCAAAATCTATACCTGAACCACTAATTTTATTTCAGTCTTATTGAGATTAAGCACATTTCCCAGCTCCTCTTACAGATAAGCACATTTCCCAACTCTTGTGACTGAGTTACAGCCCATGGAATATGAATGAACTTCTGTATGCCTGCCATACCTCACGTATTAAAAACAGTATTGCACTTTTCTTTATTCTTTCCTTCAACCCCACTACCATTCAAAGAGATGAACTCTGGGTGTCACAGGAAGGCAACCATGTGCTGAAGGCATCAAAGGCCCTGGAAACCAGGTGCTTGAAAAGGCCATTATGCCAACCACTTCACCTCTTACTACTGTCATGTGAGCAGAAAGTAAACTTCTGTTGTATTTGAGCCATTTTCTCTCTATAGTCTACTTGTAAAATCATTTAGTCTGCCCAAGCAGTTACTGTTAATTACATAAAGAAATACCCACCGTTGGTTTTTTAATGCGCCCACCAAACATAAGGCTTCCTCTTGAATTCTGTGTTCAATAGTCCTCTTCCCCATCCCCATATTCCTTAAAACCATGAGGGAGAAATGCCGAGTTTGCTTCCATATTTCACCATTGCTGAAAACAATTCCTATCAGGACAAAAATCAAAAACAGAGAAAAATAATCCATTGCCATGAATTCTAGCTTAGAGTCTTTAAACCAGGAAATGACAATGACACCTAAGCAGGAATTAAATACAGTAGTGACAGCCTCAGGAATTCCCATTGGGCCCTTCATCACCTGCCTCCTCCTCTCTTAACCCAGCTTGTATCTTACTGTCAAGACTCTTGGTGTTACATATTACTACACTCTTCCTTATCCATTAGCTCTTGAAAAATTCAGAACAACCCTAAGAACCAAGTGTTTTGTCTCCATTTTACTTATGAGGATGCTAAAAATCACAGAAGCAAAATGCTTGCTCTTTGGTGACACAGCTAACAATCCACAGAGTCCAAGTTTTGGGTTAGGTTTTGGGGGCTGATTTGTGCACTGAAAATGAACTGTAGGAGAAACAACAAAAGAGTCAATTCTTAAGATGGGTATAAAGAGCACTTGTGTATTTAAAGGAAGCTCATGAAAATCTATTCCTCAAGTAAGGAACATGGCCATAGCTCTTCCCATTTTGACATTCTCCTTCTATTTGCTAATCTCCTCCAAGAAATATGGATGTCTTCCCCGTGTTCTACCCTGCAGGTGCCTGCCCCCACTTCTCACAGCCCCACGGCTAGGCTAGGTCTATAATAAAAACCACAAAGCACAAATATGCTCTGATAAGAGGGTCATGGGGAAACACAATAAATATATATCAGAATGTTAAAGAAAATCTTTTTAAATCAAATACTTGCACTGTCTGTCATCTGTTTTTTACATTGTACCAAGAAAGTTCACTGTCAGACTTCCAGAGCCAAGGACAAGATCAGAGGAAAAGACAATGCTCATAGGGAGCTTGTCTAATAAGACCTTAAAGAACAATGTAAAGGATGAAATGACACTATTCAGGCATTATTTTTGTAAGAACTCAGTGAACCACAAAGGATGGGACAGTTTAAGGTCTAGCTATTTAAAAACAGATGACAGCGCAAGTATTTGATTTCAAAAGATTTTCTTTAATATTCAAATTTATATTTATTGTATTTCCCCATGACTCTCTTTTCAGAGCATATTTGTGCTTTATGCTTTGTATTACATTCTATTGGATAAAAAAATTTGCTGTGCTTTTTTTTCTAAGAAGAATAGAAAATTGAATGCAATTTACACATTCCAAACCTTTGTTGGTTCCATGTATATAATATGCAAGCTTCCAAAACTAGCCTCTTAGCAACCATGATTCAGGCCAGAAAGCAAAATGTTCAGTAAATAGGATAATTTATTGTCATTTTCCTCCCTTCTTTTTCTCTCTGTCTCTTTTTCATTTTCCTACCTGGCCATAATTTATTAACAGAACATTAGTGATTAGAAGATTTGCTTTAACTGCACTTAGTGTTTCATTCAGACCATGTCATCTTCATAATTTTAAATATGGATTAATGATCCATAGAAAACTGTTTATTTATGATGCTTTCATAAACTTCTCTATTACCTATAATTTCTCAATTCCTTAGCCTATTTGAATCTTTCCAACCTACAATTCCCACATACTCCTCAAATAGAAGCATACCTAATCCCTGGTTGATGTGGTCTGCCACTGGTAAACTACCTCTGCCAGAAAATTCCTCACTCTGATCAATCAGGACTTGCTTCACTGCTTCACATCCATGCAACACCACAGTGGCTTCGTGCCAAAATACAGAGTGAACACAGGACCATAATCTTCTGCTAGCTGGAGAAAACAGGAGATGCAAGAACAGTGAGCATTTCAAAACTGAAAATGTAGATAACATTACATTTATATAGGAAAATATAGATAATGTGGGAAATATTTTCAATCTTCTTAAGATTCACCCATTATAAAAGATTTCAATTTCTAGAACCAGTAATTTAATATGGCATAACTTTAATACAAGGGTAATTATCATTATATTATTAGGAATACTGTTATGATTATCATCACCATCAATAGTTATTCTTTATTCAGCTCCTACTACGTGACAAAGGTCATAGTATGAGTTCTATTAGTACTATTCTATTAAGCTTTTTTCTGCCAAACCTATAATTGCTCCTTCCTTATTATAGTGACAATAAATGATATGTTTCTTCTGTTTAAAGGAAGGTGCTCCGTCTCTCAAACATACAGACTAATAATCATCCCTCCATTACCCATTCTTCACATCTTTAGCACCAGAGACCTCTAAGCTTTCAAAATGCACAAGGACATAGCCACAGACATTTTCCATCTTCCCAGTGTGATGATGTAAGTAAGTTTTCATGAACTGAGATAAGCAGAAGGGATGTACACAAATTCTACACTGGCATAAATAGGTGACAACGCATCTTTCATTTCTCCTCTTATCCATAGATTGAAATGACAACATGGAGATGACCCCTCTGTAACAGCCTTAGAGCACAGGATGGTAAACTACAAGACTGAGGAGATCTGGTTCTCTGAAAGACTTCGTGGAGGAGAGGCAGCCCAGCAGCACTTACTCTATGCCTTCTATGTGGAAGGCAGAAATAAACTGTCTTCCTTAAGTCACTGAATTATTGTGGTCTTTCTGTCATGGCAGCTTATTTAGTGTACTACATGATATAGACTTTCACTCTTTCAACTTGTCCAATGTTTGAGTCCTTTTGCTACCTTCTAATTCATTCTCCATACAGCAACCCATTTCACAAAGCAAATGTTAAAGGACATCCTATGGCTCTTATGCTAAAAACCAATATTCTTAAAATCCTTGTAAAATCTACATACTCTGGTCCCTGCTTACCTGCCTAATCTCATCTCACACCACGCTTTTACCTACTCTCTGGGCAACAAACATATTGGTCCTCTTTCAGACATTCCAATAACTAAGTCTGCCCCAGACTGAAAAAAAAATGGAACAAACATTTACTTGTATTTTATCCAGTTAATGACTAATTATTTTTCAGATCTCAGCTCCAATTTCACTTCCACAGAGAACCCTTACTGACTGTGCCTCCTACCTGTAATCCTTTAAACTACATCACCTTTTTCTGATGCACCTTTTTCTACTGTGTTCCTATTACATGGTTTGTAATCATACACTTATTTGCATGATTGTTTCATAAATACATGCCTACCATTTAGACTGTAAATTCCATACTGCTGACTTTTTTTTTTTTAATTCACTGCTCGTATAGTTAAAGAACCTGCCTGCAATGTGGGAGACCTGGGATCAGTCCCTAGGTTGGGAAGATCCCCTGGAGAAGGGAAGAGCTACCCACTCCAGGATTCTTGCTTGGAGAATTCCATGGACACAGGAACCTGGCATGGCGGGCCCATGGGGTCACAAAGAGTTGGACATGACTGAGTGACTAAAATTTTCACTTTCTTTCACTTTGAAAATTCCCAGCGTCTGACACACCTGGTACTGAAAATAGGCATTCAATAACTTGTTACACTCAGGTATTAATATTTGTCCATAATAATTATTATTCACATTTTAAAGAAGTAGAAATTAAAGCTCAGAGAGATTTATAAAATTTGACCAAGGCTGTGAGTTAACAAGTGTATGAGCTGGGGTGATGACACAATCTCTTCAAAACCAGAGTCTGATACACAGAAGGAGGAGCTTCCAGGGGCAGTGCTCTCATAACTACCTTTCCCAGAGAAGTCAGATTTCAGATAATTCCTTCAAGATTTAAAGAGCTATAGAACAGTTATTCATTCATGGAGCAAATACAACAGAAGCTGTGAAATCTCTTGAAACTTGGTTATTTCCTTGATTTCAATTCAATGTATTCTTTCAGGAAAATTTTGGGGTTGTCACTCTGTAACTATGCAGTTTTTAAAAATTAAAGCAATTTCATTGCCATTAGAATTTACCAAAAATAAGTGCTATAAAGGACACATAGGTCACAACATGGACAGAGAATTCCCACTTTTGACAATTTCAACAATGATCTCATTGATCTCACTCCATTCTGGCAACCTTTAGCTGTATACCATCTAAAATCATGTCTGGGTGTCATACATCATTGACAAGTGGGGTTTATCCCAGGGATGAAAGTACGATTCAATATTCTCAATTTGATCAATGTGATACACCACATTAACAAATGGAAAAATAAAAATCTATGATAATTTGATAGATGTAGAAAAGTTTTTTATAAAATCCAATATCCATTTAGGATTAAAAATTCTCCACAAAGTAGGTATAGAGGCAACATACTTCAACATAATTTAAAAATCACATATATAATAAGTCCACACCTAACATCATCATACTTGACAGTGAAAAACTGAAAGCATTTTCTCTAAAATCAAGGATGCCCACTCTTGCCACTTTTACTCAAAATATCATATTGGAAATCAAAGCCATAGCAGTCAAAGAAAGAGAAATAAAAGGATTTGGAAAGAATGAAGTAAAACTGTTCTTATTTGTAGATGACACAATACCATGCATACAAAATTCTAAGTTCAGTTCAGTCGCTCAGTCGTGTTCCACTCTTTGCGACCCCATGGACTGCAGCATGCCAGGACTTTCTGTCCATCACCGACTCCTGGAGTTTACTTAAACTCATATCCATTGAGTCAATCATGCCATCCAACCATCTCATCCTCTGTCATCCCCTTCTCCCCCCACCTTCGATCTTTCCCAGCATCAAGTCTTTTCAAATGAGTCAGTTCTTCGCTTCAGGTGGCCAAAGTATTGCAGTTTCAGCTTCAGCATCAGTCCTTCAAATGAATACTCAGGACTGATTTCTTTTAGGATGGACTGGTTGGATCTCCTTGCTGTCCAACATTCTAAAGATCCCAACAAAAGTCTGCTGGAGTCATCAGTGAATTTGGAAAAGTTGTAGATAAAAAAAATTAACATATAGAAATCTGTTCCATTTCTAAACAATAAGAACAAACTATCAGAAAGAGAAATTAATAAAACAATCCCACTTATCATCACATAGAAGAGAATAAAATTCCAAGTAATAAATCTAATTAACCATGGAATTAAAAGATATGTACTCAGAAAACTATAAGATGCTGATTTAAAAAAAAAAAAGACAATACAAATAGATGGAAAGACATAACATGCTCATGGACAAGGTAAGTTAATATTGTTAAAATGAACATATTACATATTACCCAAGGAAATCAACAGATTCAAAGCAAATCCTATCAAAATACTAGTGTAATTTTCAAAGTACTACATCAAGTAATTCTAAAATTTATATGGAAACACAAAAGATCTCAAGCAGACAAAGATATTCAAAGAAAGAACAGAACTGAAAGTATCATACTCCCTGATGTCAGACTACAGTACAAAGTTACAGTAACCAAAACAATTGTACTGGCACAAAAATGGACACAGGTCTATGGAGCAGAATATATAGCCCAGAAAAAAAACCCACTTATATGAACAACGAATCCATGAAAAAGGACACTAAAATATACAGTGGGGAAAAGGCAATTTCTTCAATAAATGGTGTAAGGAAAACTAGACAGCTACACTTAAAGAAATAAATTAAAATATTTCACATGCTAGTAAGGTTATGCTCAAAATCTTAGATAGGCTTCATCAGTACATGAATCAAGACCTTCCGGATGCAAAAGCTGGGTTTGGAAAAGGCAGAGGAACCAGAGATCAAATTACCAACATTTATTGGATCATAGAGAAAGCAAGATCAGTTCAGCTCAGTAGCTCAGTCATCTCCGACTCTTTGCAACCCCATGGACTGCAGCATGCCAGGCCTCCCTGTCCATCACCAACTCCTGGAGTTTACTCAAACTCTTGTCCACTGAGTCAGTGATGCCATCCACCATCTCATCCTCTTCTAGGAGAAGGCAAGTGAATTCCAGAAAAATATCTACTACTGCTTCTTTGACTACACTAAATCCTGTTACAGTATGGATCACAAAAATCTGTGAAAAATTTTAAACAGATGGGAGTAGCAGACCATCTTACCTGTCTCCTGTGAAACCTGTATGCGGGTGAAGAAGCAACAGTTAGAAATTGGCATGGAACAATTGACTGGTTCAAAATTGGGAAAGGAGTACAACAAGGCTGTATATTGTCACCCTGCTTATATACACAGTATATCTTAACTTAGATGCAGAGTATATCATATGAAATGCTGGACTGGATGAATCACAAGCTGGCATCAAGATTACCAACAGAAATATCAACAACCTCAGATATGCAGATGATACCAATCTAATGTCAGAAAGGGAAGAGGAACTAAATAACCACTTGATGAGGGTGAGAGAGGAGAATGAAAAAGCTGACTTAAATCAGCATTCAAAAAACTAAGATCATGGCATCCAGTCCCATTATTTCATGGCAAATAGAAGGGGGAAAGCGGAAGCAGTGACAGATTTTATTTTCTTGGGTTCCAAAATCACTGTGGACAGTGACTGCAGCCATGAAATTAAAAGATGTTTCCTCCTTGGAAGAAAAGCTGTGACAAACCTAGAAAGCAGAGACATCACTTTGCTGGCAAAGGTCCATCTAGTCAAAGATATGATTTCTCTAGTAGTCATGTATGGATGTGAGAGGTGAACCAAAAAGAAGGCTGAACACTGAAGAACTGATGCCTTTGAACTGTGGTGTTGGAGAAGACTCTGCAGAGTCCCTGGGACTGCAAGGAAATCCAACCAGTCCATCCTAAAGGAAATCAGTCCTGAATATTCATTGGAAGGACTGTTGATCAAGCTGAAGCTCTAATACTTTGGCAATATCATGGGAAGAGCCAACTCACTGGAAAAGACCCTGATGCTGGGAAGACTGAAGACAAAGAAGAAGGGGGTGGCAGAGGGTGAGATAGTTAGATAGCATCCCTGACTCAATGGACATGAGTTTGAGCAAATCCCAAGAGATAGTAGAGGACAGAGTAGCCTGGCATTCTGCAGTCTGTGGGTCGCAAAGAGTCAGACACGACTCAGTAACTGAACAACACAGAAACAAAACATATTCTCATACTATATACAAAACTTAACTCAAAAAGGGTTGAGGACTTAAATGTAAGACCAGAAACCATAAAACTCCTAGAAGAAAACATAGGCAGTATACTCTTTGACATGTATCATAGCATATATTTTTGGATCTGCTTCCTAGTGAAGTGAAAGTGTTAGTCACTAAGCTGTGTCTGAGTCTTTGCAATCCCCTAGACTGTAGCCCACCAGGCTCTTCTGTCCACAGAATTCTCCAGGCAAGAATTCTGAAGTGGGTAGCCATTCCCTTCACCAGGGGATCTTTCTCAACCCAGGAATCGAACCCAGGTCTCCCACATTGTGGGCAGATTCTTTACCATCTTTACCACAAAAAAGAATGAAATTTTGCCATTTGCAATAACATAAACTAATCTGGAGGGCATTACACTTAGTGAAATAAGTCAGACAGAGAAATACAAATACTCTATGTTATCATTTATATGTAGAATATTTTAAAAAAATAAAATGAATTAACTGAACACAATATAAACAGGCTCACACACATAGAGAATAAACTAGTGGTTACCAGTGGGAAACAAAAAGAATGGAAGGGGAAATGAGGGGTAGGGGATTAAAAACTATAGGCTGCTACGTATAAAACAAATAAACTACAAGGATAAATTGTTCAGCACAGGGAATACAGCCTATATTTTATAATAAATTTCAAAGGAGCATAATCTATAAAATATTCTATATTCTCACTTGAAACTAACATAATATTGTAAATCAACTCTATCTCAATTGAAAATAAATTAATAGGTCACCGCTGGTAATCCAGCAGTAATCCGCCTCACAATGCAAGGGACACTAGTTTGCTCCCTGGTCTGGGAAGATCCCACATGCTGCAGGCAAAAAAGCCTGAGTACCACAGCTACCTCACCTACACTCTGGAGACTGTGAGTGGCAACTGCAGAAGCCCGTGAGCCACAGAGCCTTCTCTTATTGCAACAAGAGAAGTCATGGCAGGAGAAGCCCACACACCATAACTAGAGTGTAGTTTCTGCTCGCCACACTGAGACAAAGCCTGTGCACAGTGATGAACACCCAGCACAGCCAAAAATAAATATTTTTTAAATAAATGAATAAAATAAATAACAATGAATAAATAAATAAATGAAATAATGTCCAGGTGTCCAATGGGAACTCCCCTTTAAAACCACTTTTAACAAACATGGTGTCTGGGACTATGGAGTCTGGGACAAGACATAGGACTGTCTTATTTACTCATTACAAACAACTGGAAGAAAAGTAATCATACTTGCCTTGCTTATGGATTTGCTGACATACTTATCTGGAGAATATTTCCAACAGTTGGGAGAGGTGTGGGCCCAGGTAGCAGCTTCCTTTTGGCATACCTCTGATTCCATAGAAAAAGGAAAATCAAAATAGAAAGACAGATCACCAGAACTACAAAGAGATCCATTGGTGTGCTTTGCATGAGGGCAACTGAAAGCTTAGAATCCAAACACTTTATAAAAACTAAGTGCAAAGAAAAAACAAACAAAGTGTAAGCTCATCACCAAACATGCAATAAGTCTTTGAATTTTTAAATAAATATTGCTTTATCATCAGTGCACTTTGGCTTCTCAATAGATATTTAAATGAAAGGTTACATTACTATTGATAAACATGTAAGTTTCCATGGAAATTTCAACTGAAAACTAATTCACTTTCTCAGAGATGGCCATATTTTAGTAGTAAAATTGAAGCTATCAGAGTTTCAAAGAACTGGAATTCACAATCACAACAAATGATGAGAGCATCTCAGCTCATCCTATGAGCAGAAAAAGAAGCACTCTCTTAGAGCTTTTTCTCATAAAATCCATGGAAAGTCCAGGTCAAGACAGAAGAAAGGGGCAGGACAAATAAAGAAAGGAATAGCGAGCTGGTCTTATCTTAGAAAAGAGTAGAGCTATCCCACTAGTCCTCACAGAGCACTTTTTTTGTGCCAGGAATTCTGACACCACTTACTTTCAGAGGAGATGCTGTTGAGCAGACAGTAGACAGAAAACAGGAAAAACAAGTCAAGGAAAGAAATCACTCAAAGACATCAGTGGAAGGTCCCTTGACTGTATAGCACCCACTCCGCTTCTTTGCATACCCATTTCCATAAGGATCATGCAGCCAGAGCAAACATTGTGTGTTCATACCTAAGTGAAAAAATATACTCCAGCATTCAATGCTATAAATATTTGAAAGTGTCTAGAAATTCACAGATATGAACAAAATTTCAAGACTCTGAAGATATTTGAGGACCTCCAATTGCATAATAAGCATCAAACTAATCAGAAAACTAATCATTGAAGGACTTAACTTAGTGAAAACAGAAAAGTTAAAATTATCAGGTAAATTTAGCCATGAAAAAGTTATTAGAAAAGTGAGAAGTTCTTGGTAATTAAGTATGTGGTGACAAAAAATATTTTTTAATAAATGGATATGCTAGTAATAAAATAAATTTAGTTCCATTTTCACTTATTTTAAATAGCAGTAAGATTTAGCAATAACATGGGTTTCCACAAGGATAGAGTACAGAATAATAATGATGAAAACATTAGACAACGTTAAGTAGTATGGAAAATAGTTCTATTAATAGAAATCCTAGTGATTTTATCACAAGAGTTTTAAGGAGAGAGAAAAATAAGCAAAGGTAATTGAATACATTTTTCCTACAATGATG